ACCTGAATTGACCCAACCTGAATTGACCCGAATCCTAAGTGAATAGGGTGAAATACTGAATTACTTATGTACTCATGAATTTTTTTTTTTTTTTTTTTTACGATTTTACTTTATTTTTCCAACTATTTTTTAAAGTGAATTTATTTTGGTGACTCGACACAAGCTTGACCCGAATAGCCCTGACCCGAATTGACTCGATCCGAAATTGACTCGACCCGACATTCACCCCAAAATTGATCATAAAAATTGACCAGACCCGACCCAAATTGACACGACCCGAACTTAACCCGACCCGAACTTAACCCGACCCGAACTTGACCCAAAGGGCTGACCTGATTTTGACCCGAAATCCGAATCGACCCAACTCGACCCGAACCCGACCTGAATGACCTGTTTGCCAGGTCTAAGGCATACTAACAAGGGCTATCTGTTTTGCCAAGACCTAAGAAACTAATAGCGCAAAACTGTTCCTATACAAAAAAAAAAAAAAAAAAAAAAATAATGTATCTATTATGCCTTGAAAATTGTATGTGTGTTTTGAACAAACATGGGAAAAAGAAACCCTGATTCTAGTTGCAATTAAATCTTTTACGATTGGTGTTTTTCGTCTCTAGTTTCAGGTTGGTCTTCAATTCCTCCTATCCGAGAGCTAATATGATGGTATTTTCGATTGAAAACATAATTTTAAAATGAAAAAAAAGGGACTATTCTCATAACATGATACCTTGTACAATTTATACCTCCCTAACCAGTAACCAATTGCCAGGAGACTTTGTAATACACTCACATTTCACTTTTATCGAGGGAGAAACAAAAAAAACCTCGAATTACAAATCATATCATATAACTAATATATAAAGCTAAACTTTTAGCCAGGCCACGAGACAGCGACACTTGGCGCTTTAACTTTTCGCCAAGTGTCGTGCCACATAGGCGACATATAAGATTTAGTATGACACCTCTAACGCTAGATAAGAGAATTTAAGATAGATTTTTTTTAAGATAAAAAAGTTATTTAGAGTTTTATTTTTGACAAAAAAGTTATTGTTTTATTTCTGATAGGTTTTCTAATTTTCCATATAAGTAGATTGTAACTTTAAAAATATATCTTATAAATATGTTAAATTAAATTTATATCATAAAATTTATAAAGTTGTACAAAACAGGACTTATTTATGATACACTTTAATCAACCAAAACAAAACTTGGCATTTTGATTTTTCGCCAAGTGTCACGTCATGTAAAAAACAAATATGAATTAGTGTGACACGCATAAGATAAATAATTATAACTTTTAAATACTTTTAACACAACTTTAACCCGTCTTTATAAGTAGCGAATTAATGTAAGGATTTTTAAAACATAAAGATATATATTGCGGAGGGAACTCGGGGCATCGTCCAGGATACGTACTAGAAACTAATATATAAAGCTAAACTTTTAGCCAAGTCACGATGCAGCGACACTTGGCATTCTAACTTTTCGCCAAGTGTCGAGCCACGTTGAATAGATTTAAATACACTTCATAAGATAAAAAAAAAGTTAGTTTAGAAATTCTATTTTAAGTGTCGCGCCACGTTGGATAGATTTAAATCGACTTCATAAACAACTCGGGCATCGCACGGGCACAAAAATAGTAATAAATAAATAAAATAAAACACAAACAAATAAAAAACAAAACCTTTGCCGGATTGCAACAATGCAACCATAAGGACAATCTATACTTCTTTCCCACCTTTTCACCATAAGCACAGGAAGTTTAAAAAGATAGCATGGTAAATCTTTGTACAATGCATCAGATGCTTATCACCTGGGCTTGTAAGGAGCACATTCATTTAAGAAGGTTGAAAATTAGAGCTTTACGCTTGCAAAGGTATAGAGTATGTTACCTGAAATCAATCACAAGAGAGGCTGAAAAAATTTGTCGTTACTGGCATGCACAGCAAAAAATTGCCGGTTCAAGTCTATGATTGCTCTGTTAATACACACCTGACACCCCATCTCCATTGAACCCTTTTCGCCATTAAATCATACGGAGTAATACTCAAAAAATGTACTAGTAGTTAATGTAATCTTAAAGATGTATGATTGATGTAAATTATAATATGAAGCCAAATGCTAGTAGAGTGGCATGAGAAACACATAATAATAAATCAGTACAACATATATGAAAGGAGCAACACACGACTAAAATGAGCAACAATGATCCACAGGACTGTCAGCCACAAACGTGTAGGAAGACATAAAAGGCAAATTAATAAATTTAGCTAAGCCAAACTCTATCCAATGTTCCCCTTCCTTAGTATCTTCATATTCTCAACATCTAAACCTTTCCAATTGTATCGATAATGCTGCCTTTATCTAAATTTCAAACCAAAAAATTCTCATCTCAAGCATCTTATTTTGAACAAAAAAATAGTCACTATCACCCGATCTTGAATAGCCTCGTGATTATTTATTTTGTTTAGTTTCCACAACATAAGGTATATATGAATCTACAAAAGCACCCATAAACTCAGCTATTTTTTAGCTTCAAGTTCTAATTGGGCTTATTTGGCAAGGCCATATAGCAATAATTGGAAACAACAGAATTCATCAGCTTGTTTAAAGGCACGGAATTGTTTGTACCAAAAAAGGAAAAAAGAAGTCCTAATGCTCATAGCTTTTGTATGGTGTACAATCCTTGAATATTTGCTTATTTCACTTCTATATAATTAACCATAAACATGTTGTTGCAGTTTTTATCAGTCAAAATAACAGAAGTGCAGAACAAAGTGTATTGACTTTTTTATTTTTGATGATTCAACATTTCCAGCAGAATTTAGAGAAGATCCAACATAATTGTAGACACCCAAATGTGTCTCCCCAAAAAACCAAACCCAGTGATGAATACCTTCCACGTCATTTGATTATCGAACAAAGTGAAAGTGTGAAAAGTCTAGTGATGTGGTTGTTTTTATTAAAATATTTCTTTCTGTTTTTAAAAATCTACTCTATTTAAGAAAATAACCAGTCCAATTTAGTTTGTCCATAATTGGGCTCAAAAAGAGTTTTCCAATGATATATTATAAGCCCAATCCGATGAATAATATTATAAGCCTAAATTAAATTTGGCCCGAAATGAATTTTATATGCGGCTGAATGATCTAGAGGATGGTCTATTAATTATTATTCCTAAAGTTATTAGGATTGATTTTAATCTTCTTAAATAATATAGAAGGTTCTTTTGAATTCTAATGGAATTATGATTAATAATTATGTTTTAAAGAGTTTTATTTTGAATAAAATAAGTGATTTATCACAAATTTGATTTTAATCTAATCAATGCGGAATTAGCAGCTTAATTATATTAAGAAGAGGATTCCGCGTGGAAAGCGCGTTTGATTTCTGACTTAGCGTAAGACAACAAGGCTGTCGCGTGGTGCTAAGCCTGCCGTCATGTCGTTGGCGACATGAGGTATTTTATTCCGAATAGGACTTGATTTGTTTTCAGACTATTTTTCTATAAATAGGGGACGTATCTCCCCATTTTCATTTATTCACAACCATCATCTCTCTCTATTCTCTCTCTAAAAGCTAGAAACTTATTCTTTCTCTCTCTTTCTCTAAACTTTCCCTCTTACAAAATTTCACATACATTAGTTCTAGACACACCTAGCCAAGTTTGAAGTTGTCTTCGCCCTAGACGTGAAAGGTTAATAATTTATGAGGGTTTGGTCCCAAATTCCTATTTCAATTATTTAATTTAATTATTTGTTTTAATATTTTCCTTGAAATTACTTACATGTGTATTTTGTTATTAGAAATATGTACTAGGCATCCAACTAAGTAATTTACTTTGTTATTCTTTCGATGTAGAAATCATGCTTTAATTATTTTAATTCCTAGTATCATGTTAGGATGTCTTTATGATTCCTAGTATCATGTTTAAGGTAATAACTAAGATTTCTAATATCATGTATGCTTCTATGGGATGCTTCATATTCTTTCCTAATATTATGTTAGTATCATATTAGGGCTAAAGCTTTGATCTTTATTGTTTAGTGACATGCTAGGATTTGTTATTAATCTTGTTAGTATCATGCCTAAGATCTAGCTATTTTTATTATACTTTGAGATTGAGATTATTATGATAATTTGATTGTTATTATTGTTGCTTGATATTATATTATTGTTATTGCTTGATCATGCCTTTTATGCATATCTAAAGGGAATTTGTACTTGTAATCACGCTTAATAAGATAATTAATAATCTTGTTTAGGCTAATATGATAATAATTCAAGGTTTATAATAGTTTTGTTTGTGCATTAATATTCAACTAACATAGATTAAACATGTTTAGGGTTAACCTATAGAAAGCGCACATGAATATGAGAAGAATAAAGTAGAAGTCTATTTTAGGGCAGGTTCAATACGTGACATGTCCGAACCATAATACCATAATGAGCACATACATTAATCATTATATACTCTATTCTGTATAAGAAATTTTATAAGAAAAGGGAAGTTAAAGTTCAGAATTACCATCTTGCTTTTCTTTCAAGTCTTTTCGCCTCATCATAAACTGTTTAGCTGCCAGAAGTTATGATCACTTACAAATTGCCCATCAATAGCACAACAGAATCAGCTTGAAACAACAGAATAGTCGGAGATAAATGGGACAACAGAAAAGACAGTAATAAGATTAACTAACCATGCATGAAAGGTATGATGTGTACCACATAGATAATTACTTTTATTGAACGCTAAGAACAGAATTAAACGTGACTATTTCCCCCCAAACAATGTGATCAGACCATTTTTACATCATGCTTCCATAACATGGCTTGAGAAAGCAAAAGCGATCAGAAGAAAACAAAAATAGCTTCTTACTCAAGAATGAATATTGATCATACAGCTAAAAGTTTGGTGATAAAAATTGTAGCAATACAATCACAATATAAAGTACTTCCATAACAACATATTATGATAGTATTCATGAATATATAGTAAATTTAATAGAGTCAAAATTAAGCCAAAAAGTATGTGGCTCCTAATACAAGAAACAGTATCTTATAAAAGAAAAGGTGCAAGATTATACAATCAGTGAGATTATGTAGCAATAAGCAAAACTTATTAGAACAAACACAATATGCAGGAAATGCTGAACAACAAAGATTTTTGCATCAATTAAGACAATAAGATGCACATGCTATAATGCCAACGGTGGCAAAAACTGACCACAGTAATGTGGCCAATTTGACTGTCACAACATGACCAACTTGTCACGTTAAATCTGCAGTAAATGCTGAACACAAGATTTTGCATCAATTGAGGCAATGAGATCACATGCTAGAATGCCAACAGTGGCAAAATTAGGTCATGGTAGTGACCACGACAATGTTGATTAGACAGTCACAAGACTCATCACAACATGAATATAATGTCAAGGTAAGCTCGATGACCATACTGTCACATTAAGCTCCACATCTGGTCACGTTGCAGCACCCACAGCAAGGATTCCCCTGAACTCCAGAAAACCTGAAAATTCTTTGTTTCAACTTTTGTGAGGACACTTAATTGAGCACCGAATTAAAACAGTGAAAGAATGGGATGAAGAATTTACCTTTTTTAATGTGTGGCGATTTGTACTCGATGAAATAGAACAAGTTAATAATCAATAGCAGATCACCCACATTAATTCCTCTTTTTTTTTTAAGGAAAAAATAAATAAATTATAATGTGATAAATAAAAACGTTGAATTGTTAATAGATGATGGTCAAATAGTAACAATCTTTAACTACTAATGGGCACACCTCACAAGGGAAATATCTCTTCTTTTTATGCTTCTAAGAATAGAGTTTCTTTTCGAAAAAAAAAAAAAAAAAAAAAAAACCTTGTGTGAAAAAAAATGTAGATGGACAAACAAAAGTAACCACAAGGTAACAGGATTTACATGGAACACATCCTCCCAATTAACATATATGAGTACATCAATACAGGAGAACCAAAAACTTCTACTTCTATGTCTATAAACTAACCTTAAAAGAGCCCTACATTTCATTGATGAATAGGTACATACTATTCAAGACGTCTTCCCACCAAGAAGAGGTTTAGGTGGTGATAAAGATCGCATTTCAGGTGCAGAACTGGGGAATAATATATTCAACTTGTGCATGAGAATGTCAACTCGAGATGGAATCTCATTTAATAAGAACTTTTGAACTATAGGTTTCTTAAACCATTCCAGGACAGAATCACCTGGAGCTCTCAAAACAACTTTACTAACCTCAAACGGAGAGTCAACTGAGCTCAACATCTGGGCAATCACAATCTTCAAAGTTGGCCCAGTAACAAGTTTGATCCTTCGGGGTACAACGCCATAGTAAAGCATGCGTTTTCTAAACCTATGAAGGGTGTGCACGACAGCAATGAGTGCTGCTCCAACCGATAAATTTCTGACATCAAGGGACCAAGCAATATGCTGATCAAAGACAATTGCCTTTGGGAAAAGCTTATTCTCATAGGAGACCTTCCAAGCACAACGAGCACGATTTATCTGTCCCATTAGAACAAGATAATTGAGGAGTACATTAACAAAGTACTTAGCTGCCCCTTCTTCTAGTTCATAATCAATTCCTTGGAAAAAATCCCGAACAAAGAGTAAAACTGGTTGTTTCCTTTGTTCTGGGCCAGTGAAAAGACCGCACATGAAGGCGTGTGCCTTATGCTTTGTAGCACTAAGAATGGACATTAAATGTTTCTCACTCTGCTCATCCTGACATCTGACAAGATGAGCTAGAATTGATGTGTAAAGTATCAGATCAACTTTTGCAGCTGAGTTCACGTATGTTTCAAGAAGAGGTTTGGCAGAATCATATAAACCATTGTTCATGCAGGACTCAAAAAGCTGTCGGATGATAAAATTATTAGTCCTTATCCCAGATGAACTCATGAACCGAAGCCATCTTAATGCAAGATCTACAGAACCATCTTTGATATAGACCATAAGAACATCACTGGCACTAACATCTGCAGGATAACCCATGGCTTTCATTTCAAGCAAAATTTTAGCAGCCACATCCACCAGCTTCTTACTGGCTACAAGGGTCAAAAGTGCAGTGTAAGTACTGAGTGTCGGTCTTAAACCTGAATTTGTCATTGAGTTATAGAGCTTCATGGCAGGATCCACTTGTCCAGAGGCAGCATGCATTTCTAATAGGCAAGAGTAGGTAGAGGGTGTAGGCAGGAACCCTGCTCTCTCCATGTCCTGGAAAACAGACATTGCGGTCTCAAGCTTTCCTGATTTTGCATGAGATTCAACAACCATCGTATAAAGTCCGTAATTTGGCCTGAAACCAGCTTTTTTCATTTCATCCCAAATCCGAAGAGCTGCTTCTAATTTTCCAGCCTTGACATAAGACTCTATTAGTGAAACAAACATAGTGGCTGATGGCCTATATCCAAAGCCCTGCATTTCCATATACAACTTCATTGACATATCCAGCCTCCCTGCCTTCCCCATCAAATCAACAAACGATGCAAATATAGAAAAACTAGGACAAAATTTCCTCTCTTTCATCTCTTGAAAAAGCTTAATAGCAGCATCTAGACGACCAGATCGTGCCAAGCTAGGTATCATTAACTCATATGTTGAACTATCTAATGAACATCCACTTGCTTCCATACCCTCATACACTTCAACCGCCTTATAAGGCAAACCCTTGTTCAAAAATAAGGTTATCAAATGATTACAAGTTTGTGTCTCAACCTTACAACCAGCTTCCCGAATCTTCTTAAAACAACAATATGACACCTCTAATTTTTCAGCCTTAGCTAAGTACTGAATTACACGATTATAAGCACAAAAAGAAAAATTACCATTATCAACATAATCGCTAATCATCTCATCAAACAATGATTGCATTTTATCATAATCTCTACTTCTATTCAATTCATCCAACAACAACAAGTAACATTCATCATTTGGAACATACCGTTGTTGCCTCTTTGCCCATTGGAACAAGCTAGCCGCCATTTCGCCATCATTGATTATTTTCATAGCTTGAATTACCTGCGTCATATTGGGAACAAATTGAAGTTTGTCCAATCGCGTTTCCATCTCAGGCCCCCATTTCCACCTCCTCACTATCTCCACAAGTTTTGCAACTGCAGAAGCATTCAGAAATGGTTTCTTAACCCCACCTGACATAACATGATCATCAATACCCGGTTCGACAGAACGAACGCCTTTACCGGTGCAAAGAACACCTCCCTTCTCATCTAAATACTCTATTTCCTCAGTCCATTCACCCGAATTCGGCTTCCCAGAGCAGTAACTTCGAACAAATTCGGGGGTTTTGAGCCTGCGAACAATCGAACTGAACAACCTATTATGCTCATTTTGCACAATGTCGCCTGAAATGGGGTTATGCGCATAGAATGGTGCTGCAGAAGTGGGATTTTTGCGGCTGAGAGTGAGATTTCTCCGCCATAAAACTCTGCAACGAAACATGGACGGATAGTAGGGGGATTATTGATTGAATTGCAAATGCAGAGATCAGATTACTGAGTTCTTGCTTGCACCGAATATGCTAAAACCCTAAACCGTGTGTTAGGAGAAAAACCAATGGGTAGTCGGGGTTTGAAAATTGTAAGGTAATCAAATAGTTTTTGATGATTTCTTAAAAAAAAAAAAAAAAAAATTGATGAGGAATTTTAAAGGGAGGAAAGTTAAGCATTTCTAAATGCATAACATTGATTAAAATATTATTAAAACACATAGAGAGAGAAAAGAGGAGAGAGGTCTGTAAGTGGACCCACCTATGTTTTGGCCGGATTGTATCACGAGATGGGGGACCACATGTTGATTGTTCCTGAAAGTTTATAGGATACCATTGAATCCTCAGTGGTATTATTTATGCATAAATTTTGTACAACTAAATGCATATATAATACCATTATGTGCATATATAGTATCACTGTATATTCAGTGGTATCATTTGATCATTCAATGATACCAGAATATGCATTCGTTTGTACATATGTATAATTACATGAATAACCCTTATTTAGCATTTGTAAATGCCTAACTTTCCTCCATTTCTAGTTCCTCGGTTTTTTATCACCTTAAGCCATATGACATGGCTTCATATGAGCCACACATTAAAAAAAAAAGTGGGTACACCTTTTCTTTTTCCAAAAATCATTTAAATCATTTTAGAAAATTAATTTCTACTACCTCCGTTTCTTTTTAGTTGACACTTATTCCTTTTTTGAAAGTTTTTTTAGTTGACACGTTTCCTTTTGGGGTAAGTTTTTTTACCTTGCATTTACAAAATACCCCACTTGCTTTTTCATCTTCTCTCACTCTTTCTCCTCTCCTTAATATATGTGCCTAAACCAAAAGTGTCAACTAAATAGAAACGGAGGAAGTATAATTTAGAAAAATCAGAAAATAGAATTTCTGAAAATCAGAAAATAGATTGATTAAAAATTGTTACATATTAGTTACATAGTAGTTATGTAAATTAAGGTGAGTAATACTAATTATTCTCTCTCTTAGGGTTTGTTTGACACTATTTCTCTCTCCTCTGAATCTGTCTTCTCACAGTCACCAGAATGGTCACCAGAATCTTGTATCGACCTACCACTGCTTCACGGAAACGGTCGTGCTGAACATCTCCATAGCCTTTATAAACGGAGAACATGGAGTCGGATTTCTGGAATCTCTCTTTTTAGAGTTTGTTTTACCCCTCTCTCTCTTTTAAAAATCCCATTTCATGGTGTCACCCACAAAGATTGTTGTGATGATGGAATCACTTTATTTGTATTTATTGAACTTCTAGCAAGTTCAGACTTCAGAGATTGTTGTGATGATGGTCGAATAAGTTGAAGAAGATGATGAACAGTAACTTTTGTAACTGGTGATTGCCACATAAACACTTGTACATCACCAACGAAAAATTGGTCTATGTGATTGGGTGGGTGGGCAGGGGAATATATAAACTACGTGGATATATCACATAGCATACAGGCTTTTGCCAATACACAATATGTAGGTACTATCCACAAGAAAAAGTGGTAGTTACCAGAATATATTAGTAGTGGTGGTAATTCAAATGAGAATGACATTAGTAACTTATATTTTATCACCGCGACAAAATCAATGACGCGCATGTTTCGGATAAACTTGAACTTTATATTACATATTGCTATTAACGTATACAACATATACACGTATGTGTATAGGTGAATGCACTACATATATATATATATATATATTATAACCGTGACGCTACACGCAACATGTATACTTATGTAGTAGGGGCATGTGACACGTAACAATTGCAAACATGTACGTGTACTATACGTAAGTCATGGCTCATAAGATTACTAATGTCAATGATGTAGAAACAACTACTATGTTGCTATACCGTTAACATGCCCTTTCCACTAACATATAATATAACAACGTTATCTTGCACGTGAATAACATCTAGTGGCAACGCATAGCCTCGACACCGCTGACGGAGTACACAATCAATAACCTACAACGTGTTACCCTATAACCTTGAGATGTGATAAAAGAATAACACTTTTGAATTTTGTGTAAATTTAGTTGGTTGTCTACCCCCAAAACTTTGGCTAGCAAATGTTTTTGGAACCGTCCATATGTGTTCCTGGTAGCATCCATGGGATTCGAAATCCAATTTCCTCTAAGAGATTTAAAGCCAATCGTGGGCGGCTTCCAAAAATTCAAAATTTGAACTTGTTTTGGGGTTGGTGGTTCCTTGTAGGTGTTCCCCAACGTCTATGTATAAAAAAATCCCTAGATTTTCTCTCTCCTCAGAAATCCCTTTTCGTTTTCTCTCTCTAAACTCTTCGTTCGATTCTCTCTCTTTGTTCTACCAGACCATTCATCCTCTGACCTATCCCCCCCTGTGTAAGTGTAGACACCCATTTGTGTCTCCCCAAAACCAAACCCAGTGATGAGTACCTTTCGCGTCGAATCATAATCGAATGAAGCGAAGTGTGGAAAGTCTAGTGTTGCGGATAGTTTTAATTTCTTTTCTTTTCTCTCTGTTTTTGGAAATTTATTTTAAGAAAACGGCCAATCCAATTTGGTTGGTCCATGATATGGGTCCAATAGTAGTGTAGTTGGATGGGGATTGCCAAGACCTTTCCAACGATATATTATAAGCCCAATTCCGATGAATATTGAGGAAGTTATGGCCAATTTACTAAACTGGGCCCAGTTTGAGCCTTATATGCGGCCCAATGATCTAGGTGAGGGCCTAATATGATTTATCATTCCTAATGTAATTAGGAATGGTTTTAGTCTTCTAGATTCTTCTAGATGGTTCTTTTCATTCCTAATTCAATTAGCATTGATAAATTGACTTTTGTTGTCTTTTCAGAGTTTTAATTAAAATCAAATAGCATTTTCGAGGAAAAGATACTATTTTATCCTCCAGTACGGCAAACTTATCTAATTTTCAAAACGCGTCAAAAACAGGCCTGGCGTCTGTCTCCAGGCATTGGCGCCTGGCGCCAGCCATTGGCGCCTGGCGCTAGTGTTGGTGTCTGGCGCCAGTTAGCTAGTGTTGGCGCCAGCTCTGTTTCGGTTGCGCCAGGACTCTGTTATGTTAATTTATCTTTTTGGCTGATTTTCTCTACAAATAACGTATTAAAAACTCCATTTTCATTCACGAATTCTCACCAACATTCATCTAGATTCACCTACAATCAGTTTTCATTCATTAATTCTCTCATTCTCTTCTCTAATCATTCATTCATCTCTCTCTCTTTTTCTAAACTAGTCTTTTATATACAAAATTCCGCATTCACAAGATCTAGAAACACCTAGCCATATTCGAAGTTGCCTTCGCCCTAGACGTGAAAGGTTTAATTTCTGAGGGTTTGGTCCCAAATCTCTTTTCAATTATTTAATTTAATTGTTGTTTTATTGTTTTCCTTGAAGTTACTAACGTGTGTATTTTGTTATTAGAAAGAGGTACGAGGCACCAAAGTAAGTATTTTGATGGTTTTTATTGATGTTATGATGTAGAAATCATGTTTAAATTGTTATTATGATATTCCTAGTATCATGTCTAGGGTAATTTTTATATTAAATATGATTGTTACGATGCTTCCTATTTTCTTCCTAATATTTATGATTGTTAGTATCATGTTAGGGTTAAGATTTGATTTTTATTGCTTAGTGACATGCTAGGGTTTGTTATTAATCTTGTTAGTATCATGCCTAGGATCTTGCTATTTTTATTATGCTTTAACATGATTATTTTAATTATGATTATTATGATAATTATTATGATTGTTATTTCGATAATTATTATTATTATTATGATTAACTTGATTATTACTGTTTCGGGGTTTTCTGATGTCCTGCGGGAGAGTTACAATTCCGAGACTGGAACCAGACGCCTGTACCTGCAAAATAACGGAGACTCCTGGGAGCTCCGCCTCCAACGGTCAAGTTAGTACTTGATTAAGGAGTAATTAATGCGGAAATTAAAGTGATTAGGTCTCTCTAGGTGAGAGTGATTAACGTAGGTAATCTGCTTTGTTAGCGAGATCAGCCGGTTATTACTGTGTGTAATTAATGTGTTTTTCCCGTAATGTTTCTGTTCTCTTTTTTTGTAATCCCCCTTAATGAGGATTAAGGGAGGTATTTATAACCTTGGGAAACGTGCCCATCCTAGGTTTAGGTAAACCTAGGGCCGATTGGGCTTCCCTCGGAAATTGGGCCTGGGTGGCCGGTTTCTCCATTAGGCATGGAGTATGCCACATGTCGTGACATAACAGGTCCAAGGTGGACGAATAAGCGCGTGCCACGTGGGAATCCCTGGCTGTTCCAACTGGGGGACACTTGGCAGGACCTGATTGGTCCACGTGGCGCTTTCCGATTGGTGGGAGCAAAATCCCCTAATCATTTGCCCCTCACAGGTGGCACGTGATTGGTCACGTGTTACCTGTGACAGGTGTCGCACTGTAACAGGCGACGGCCTGCTACAGCTGTCAGTCGGCGAAAGGACGAGAGATTTTCCCGCCCAAATTTTGAATTCTGAAAGTGACCCTTTGCCTTCTCACTTCGCCTATATAAGGGAGAGTTGTCTTGAGTCATTTTCACACTTTGAGAACTATTTGAGAACATTCGGACCCCTGAACTTGCTCTGACATTTTGGACCTTTTCAGCCTACCGCCTGTTCTGACAAGCCGACTGCACAGGATTTTCAGAACTTCATCAACCGTCACTCGTTCAGGTAACTCAGTTCTCTTACTCTTAATTTTCTTTTTATTTTCTGAAATGGCACCACGGAAGCACACGACACGACCTAGGTTAGTGATCAGCCGGTCACCGGGGACGGCTGAATCTAGGACTAGGAGTGCCGCCTGCCCTTTTCCGGACCCATCTTTGCCCTTTATACAAAGTCCGACTGTATCTGTGTCTCTGCAGAGCAGGATGGCCAGAACGAAAAAGACAGCTAGGATCTCAAATTCAGACGGCTCCTCCCACAGGGTGCCGATTAGTGAAACATCTGACCAGGCGCCAGATGTGGAAGTGAAACAAGGCGGCCTGGATGCCGGCAATTCTGTGGGGGGAGTCATAGTGACCCCTTCCCATTTAACAGTTAACAAATCTGCTCCTTTTCAAAGAGAGGAGGCGGGCCCCTCCGGGAGAGGGGAGGAGTCGTCCTCTTCAGACTCGTCGGAGGACGATTTCGAGTCAAGCTCTTCTGGCCATGCTTCTTTGGGTACAGAAGAGAAAAACAGCCGCCTGCAAGAGGCGAGACTTTCTCACGCAGTTGAGAAGGGGGACAATTGGGCGGAACCATCCGCCTCTTACCGAGAGCTAAATACCCCCTACTACTGCAC